TTATTAGAATATATGAACTTTATTCTATATTTAAAAAATGTGAGAAAAATACTATTAATAAAGGAAAACGAAAATATTGGGTCAGTCCAATATTTACTATTGAACGACGATTAGCACAAGGAGCAAGCGATAATCTCGTTAATGAACTGGAACAACAAGATCGTGAAAAATTTGTTAATTATTTCCGAATGGAACCTGCATTTTTTGAGAAATTATTACAATTGATCAGACCATCGATTACTAAACAATCTGTAGTTCGAGAAGCTATTTCACCTGAAACAAGATTGCATATAACCCTCAGGTACTTGGCATCAGGAGATAGTATGCGATCATTATCGTATGCCTTTCGTGTTGGACACAATACCATCTCTAAAATAGTGTCAGAGACATGCGAAGTCATTTGGGAGTGTTTGAAAGATACTGTTTTTATAAAAAATAATGAAAACAGCTGGCAAAATGTTGCCAATGATTTTGAACGGCTTTGGAATTTTCCTAATTGCATCGGAGCCATCGATGGAAAACACGTAATCTTACAGGTAATATATGAATAACACATATAATTAAAATTAAAATTAAAAATTAAATATGACTAATTAAAAATATCTACAAATATATGTATTTTACATAATTAATATATTGTACACAACATATTTTATTGCAGGCTCCACCGAATTCCGGTTCGACATATTTTAATTATAAAGGAAACCACAGTATTAATCTCCTAGCAATTAGCGATGCCAAATATCGCTTTATTATTGTCGACATCGGAGGTGAAGGCAGACAAAGTGACGGAGGAGTTTTTCGGAATAGTCTTATTGGACATTATTTCGAAAATGCTTCATTAAAATTGCCAAATCCTAAGCCAGTTGAGATTGATGGACCAGCTCTCCCTTATGTACTGCTAGCAGATGAGGCCTTTCCTTTGACAAACTTCATGATGAGGCCGTACCTCCGGAGTGGTAGACTAAATCTACCAAAAAAAGTATTTAACTACAGACTCAGTCGAGCAAGAAGAGTAGTAGAAAGTGCTTTCGGGATATTAGCGGAAAGATGGAGAATCTACAGAAAGCCAATAACATCAAGTGTTGCTAATTCGAAGAAAATTGTGCAAGCAACAATAGTATTGCACAATTTTATTATTAATAATGAAGAAGAAATGCAGTTACAACATAGATA